AGGGGTCCGTCCTGTCACATAGATTGCTCCCTGATTGGCAGCTGCCAGTCTGATGTTTGTCAAAGCCCATGTCAGTCCGGGTTTTGACTGGCATGACACTGACCACTGCGCCCGTGTTTAACAGTCCTTTCACTGAAAGTTTTCTGCCCTGCACATCTAGCATATGTGCTGCCAGATCGGCTTCGCAACCTATGTGAACCGCATCCTGTTCAAGCATGGCATTGTGTCCGATTCGTCGTTGCTTCAGTTCTTCTTGGCCAATGTATATCCGGCCTACCTGATCACTCGCATCAGTTACGTGAAATTAATACCGTCCACATTCATCAGAATCGGATATGGGCCATGGACCTCGATGTAATGTCCATCCACTCTCATCAGCCTTGGACCTTCTGTCGTGAGTAGCGCTCACACTGCCCTGGAGTCCAGCTTGGGATCTTTCGCCTTTTTGCTTGCCCATCGACGTCATCAATCTGTCGAACGTCGAGGATACTCCCAGGGCTATCCCATCAGACATTGGCCTGGTCGGCGAAGTGGACAACGCCTTTCTAATCAGCGTCAAAACAAACGACTTCCAACTCTTCTTTGCCTTCGAACCCGTTTGTTCTTCACTCGGACTTATACTCGACATCATCGCGTTCTTGCTCTGCTTGGCATTGTGTATTGGTCGGGTGTGAAAAATCTTTTCTCCACTTATGACTCTTGGTCTCTGATTTGCAAATTCCCCTGAACAATACCTCTTCTCGAGGCTTGACCTCGGAACGCTCCGAGGCCTCCTCTGTCCTCTCGACTTCCTCCCGTTCGAGGTCCTCGCTCGGCTCAAAGTCGGCTCGAATAAGCGTTCGATCCCGTTCGTTCCCCTTCGTCCCCCGGCCTCGGCGCTCCGCTCTTGATCGCCATCGAGGTTCTTCTCGCTTCTTAGTTTCATTTCGCTCACTGAAAGATCAGCTTGTCCTTTAGTCGATTCGTTATCAGCAAAAACGTCTGGAACGCTGCTAAACGAATATTGGCTACGCCCTGTTCTAAACTTTCGAGTACTTCCCTTGCTCAGCCTGGGGATCTTAGTAGTCATTCCTAGCGAATTCATACGCTGCATACTTTGAAATAAATAACAATACTCGTACAATTTAAGGGCAATGCACACGTACCACAAACAAGTTCAAGTTAATTTACTTAACGCCGCCTACTCGATTCCGTTAGTATCAAAAATGACTCTTAGATTTCTCAATGACAATTTTAGTGACTCAGCCAAAGTTACACACAGGGCCTACTCAGTATTGATATAACGCTAATTCAACCCCGTTGTATAGTATAAGAGTATTACAAAATTTTCACAAGATATAATCAATACACAAAACACAATTGATAACCAGATAAGAGTATCCTACAGGTGACAGCGACCTTTCGTCAGTATCAATTTACCGCCACACTCCTATCAAGTCACTGCTTTTTTAAAATCAAACAATCGTTGGTAAAAAGCAGTGATGATTCAGAAACAGATCAATAAAACTTAGTCTTTAGGAAAAAGACTCCCCTCAATCGGAACGATCCGAAAGAACGAAGCCCAGGACACAGTCCTCTCAAGTGAGTGTGTATTTGCCTAATACACCCACCGAGGTCTTCGTTTAGGTGTCCTGCGATTGCCCGAGCTGTCCTACTACGTAGCTCAATGCAACTTCTGATCGAAAAATTTCTAAAGTCTCTGAAAAAGCTCCCCCACTCCCGGAACGCTCCAAGTGCACGAGAGCAGGGAACAACTTTTCTTCTCAAGTGAGTGTGTATCTGCCTAATACACTCACCGAGGTCTTCTTCTATGTGTTCCCGGATTGCCCGAACTTTCCTATTAAGTAGCTCAAGGCAACCACACAACTAAAATCACAATCAAAAAAAAATTTTGATTCGGGTACTTCTGACACACCCGATCTAGAATCCAAAGTTGATCACAAATATCCGGATCGAATGGGCTCCTATGATCCTAATATGCACGCCCGTTAATAGTTTACCTCTTATCCCAACCCCAAACGGATATTTTCCGTTTCTCAAATTGCCCCAGAAGGTTTCCCTAAGTTTTCAATAAGGAGGGTTGCTAGAGGTTTAAGTCACTCCGGAGGGCTACTTCGGAGGGTTGTTAAGACACTTAGCCTACTCCGGACGGTTTTTTAGGAGGGTACCTTAGTCACCCAAGAGACTTCGGAGGGTCCCCCTTAACTCACTAAGGAGGGTCAATAAGAGGCTTAATATGCTCCGGAGGGTTACTTCGGAGGGTTACCCAAAAATCAGGAAAAAGGGTTATTTTACCGCGATAAAGACTCCAAATGCGGTGTAACTTACTTAAAACCAGGTTGGCTGACACGGTCATTCTTCCCAGTAGGATAAAAAGGTGTTTTTATAAAATTTTCTGCCGCTCGGAGGGTTACCTGTAATTTGGACCCTCCGAACCAACAAACTCTAACAAAAATTTTCTTTTCCGAGACTATCAACCCAAAAACGGTTGCGGTCCGGAAAATTGGTCAAAAACATCGACTTATGGTTCCAAATTTATCTCGATCGGTTGGCTAGTCTTTGAGAAATCGCCAAAAACATGTTTGTCAAAATGGCCTTTTTTCACCACCTACATAGGTTCTGAGAGACTTTTTCCGCCATTCGTATTGAAAGTGCCTAAAAATAATTGAAACGAACGTATTAACCCTGTACGGCACTGGAACAATGCAAAAAACCGGACCAAAATTGGTTTCGAGACAAAAATTTGGCCAATAATTATCAAATTTGGACCCTCCGATTCCTTCCTTTTCCAATCCTTAAGACGTTAGCTCTATCCACGGAGCTAATCGGAGGGTTACTCAAGAATTTTTCTGGCAACCGAGCACGTTATGCTAGCACGCTTTAAACACAAAAAATTTTATTGCTCTAACTCTAAAAACTCAAAAACTCGATCCCCAAAACTGATTGACAAAATTCAGAAAATTATCAAAATTGTGATCAAAAAATTTTCGTTTTTTCTAACTTCTACTGAGTTCTTTCTCACGCGGTTTCTTTAATCAGGGGGATCGAACTACGTAGCTACTCCCTATATAAAAGCTTTTTGCTGTTCGGAAAAGCTCGGATATCCAAAAATTTGGGGGTCTATAGTTTGGTCGAAAATCGGTAATTTTCGACAAAATTTGGGTGTTTTTTGGGTCTAAATAGGAGATAGGTGATATATAATAAAGATAATAACCTATTAGTAGTCGTTAATGAATATTAATATACCCTCCTTTGCACCAAAATACCCGAATTAAGACCTTTCACTCGGAAATTTGTGATCGACGGAGGGTACAATCGGACCGCGCCAATCGTGCCCCCCACCACTTAATCTTTAATGAAATAGTACCCGGACGATACTAAAATTGTTTCAACGATACCAAACAATCGTTTTGGATGTTGTCCCTGATGTCCCTGTTGAACACGTCGGTCAGCTTGCCACTCTACCCTCCGGTCACCGGCAAAATCACCATTGACGTGCTTAAATACTCAAATTACACTCAAGGGAGGGTACCCAACCCTTCACCAAAGCACACAATCTTTCTATCAGAAATGATATAAATCAATCTGAAACAAAAACAAACAGGAAGGTAGATCACATCTCGTCCGGAAATAACATATTAACTGTCACTTTATGTTTTTTACTGTTTTTGGTCTTTTTTGGGTTTTTTACTGTTTTTTGTACTTTTTTTATTTTCAAGTAAATTTATTTTTGGCTTTTTCTTGGTTATACACCATTTTTGTTTGGGTTTACGCTTTCTCTGTAATTGTTTTTGGTCTCGGGATCTTGGGACAAGCGGGCTCAAGACTTCCCACCTAACCCTACGGCCCCCGGAAATTTCGGTGTTAACTAAGCTAAAAAGCTAAATAGTACTAGGCGGAGGGTACGCACCTTCCCCCTAGTACAATAAAGGTCATTAAGGCCTCTAACTCGGGCATACGCCCGGAGCGGAGGGTTCGTCGCTGAAACGTTTGCTGATCATGATGGTCTCGTGCCTTTAACAGGCCCACCCAGGAGCGCCAAAAAAACGTCTATGTAACATTCGCCCAATTACTACACAGCGACGGAGCGTAGAAAAAGTACATTTTAAAAGCTGGCAGGCGTCAGTTACATTAATCCTACTCGTTTTTCACCGTCTCAACCTTGCCAGTTGATTTTCTGGTCTGTTTAGGGCTAAGTAAAAAGCTACTATTTTTAGGCCATCAGACAGACGACTTTTGATCAGCTTTCGCTTACATGCGAACACAACCACATAGCTGAGTCTCGGATCCTCAGACTACGTGATTGCTAATAAAAACATGGCTCAAATATCCTACTTTAATATGTTTTTGGTGACAGTTCTATATTAAATCCATTGGAGATGGATTGACCCTTTCCTCTTCCTAGCTACTCCTATTCTAAAATATCAAGTAATACCGGTGTCAATTCAAAGTTCTATGGCATCCGAGTAGCTAAAAAGTTAGTTTACTACATTTTTCACCATATATCACTCTCTGGGGGACCAAGCCTCCGCTTCCGTGTTTTCCTCGAGATAACGTTGTTATCACTCCAAATTCGTGGCACGGGAGGGTACTGCTCTCCACCACCGAAGTCTCCTTTCCCACTATCTTCTTTCACTAAGGATCTTATCTTGCGTGACTGTCACGATAAGAGGCTTCGTTTTTCCGTGTTCTCGTATGAATGTTTTTTACTAGATTTGCTGTTGTTCTGTTTTTCTCAGCTTTTTGGGTCAAAATGGCCGTTTTTTCTTATTTCTGAGAATTATCCACTTGACAATCGAAATTTTGAAAAACTGAAACTTCCAGAATATTTCGACCCTCCTTTCGAGCACTTTTTTGCTGTTAAGGCCTTTTCTCTCTAATTCGTGCTTCGTCGGAAGGTTGCGCTGTGCCCATCCTTCAGAATGGCACACTAGTTGATGTAACGATAGATATTAAAGACATTCAAAAAAATTTTAATCAAAATACTTATCATCTTGTGGCCTAATTGTTGTGATAAACTTATTAAATAGGTTTGTTATATTTGATGTTTGTGCCTGTTTGTGGAGCGCCCTCTGAGAGATTTTAGAGACAGGTCTGTCAAGTGGTTTTCTAAGGGGAGGTGGGAAACTGGAACTGGCTTGAAGAGACTGGTGGTGCACCGCTTGACCTACTGAGCTCAGGTGAGATTGTTCCTTGTTTTTGATTTTTATAATTCGATTTGAAATTTAAATTAATTTAGTTGTCTTTTATTTTTTTTATTTGCTGATTTATAAAATTCCCACTAACCGCTTATCATGGGTTAATTCAGTCCCCTAAAGTCCAGTCAAAATCCTTTTTTTAAACCTTTACGCTGCGTCAAGATGAGGAAAACAACAAATACAAGGAAAGATTACTTAAAACCTTCAGGACTCATAAATTGGATTAGATGTGATTGTTGTTCTAGTTGGTATCATATCAGTTGTGTAAATATTTCTCTTAGCGACTATAAGAAAACCCAATGGTTTCAGTATCTTCTATGCGTTGATGTAAAATCTGTCAAAAAGCAGCAATAGTTAATGATTTAGTGCTAGACAATTATGTTAATACAGCCATCTCAAATGTCCGAGTACTCAAGAGAGTACCAAAAGACTCGCGTGTTGCCTTGTTGGAAAGTCTGTCGGACAAAATAAATGACATCGTCTACAATGTAGAAGATGTTACAAAATGGCTAATTTTTTTAACGTCGTTCTTGTTTTTTTTGGAGCAACCGAAAAGAAGTGGACGCAAACAGACCACAAGCATGAGCTCTTTGATAAATAAAAAAATTCGAGCAAATGACGTGTCACTTCAAAAACCCCATCCCCAAGTTTCACGCCCGCCTCCGAGTGACCTCGAGCAGAGAATAAAGCTAATAAGTGTAAGCTCGATGAAGGAAAAGTAAAGGGAGGAATAAGGCTTGCTGCTTCGGATGACAAAATTGCTCATTTTTTAACTGATAATTATCAAAAATTGTTGTCTAAGAACCCTCAGCGGGCAAAATTTGCAGCTCCAAATCAAGAAAATTTGGATAGTTTTTTCGTAACCGATTTCGACCTATATAAAGCGATAATGTCCTTTCTGAACGGATCAGCAGCAGGTCCTGATAAAATAAATCCTCAATTTTTTAAAGATCTTGTTAGTAAGTCGAATGGCAGTGCAGGACTTAATTTTCTGAAATCGCTTACTAAGCTGATAATAAACCTCATTGGATATGGCAAAATACCCGAACCCCTAAGACCTTCCTTTTTTGGCGCAAAGCTTATCGCCCTCATAAAGATAGACAGAGGGTTGAGATCGATTGCCATAGGCAACACGCTGAGACATATCGCGTCTAAATGCGCTGGAAGCAAGGCCCTCTCCGAGCGACAAAATTTTTTCGGAAACGTACAGGTAGGATGCGGTACCAAACGATGAGCAGAAATAGCTGCGCACTCGTTTCGAAACCTAATTGAACGCGACGACACTCCAAAATGCACTGTTCTTTTACAACTAGATTTTAAGAATGCCTTTAACTCTCTAAATAGAGAAACAATGCTGAATCATGTTTATTCAAATCGCCCCGAATTGTATAATTACATCCATTGCTCGTATGGTAAAACTAGTTACCTTTTTTACGGAAGCTCTGTCATAATGTCAGAAGACGGAACTCAGCAAGGTGATCCTGAAGCCCCACCCCTTTTTGCGGAAACAATTCATACGCTAGTCAAACAGTTGGAGTCGAAAATTGACATCTGGTATTTAGATGATGGAAATTCAGCCGACGACTATAAGGTAGTACTCCAGGACCTTAAAAACATTCTGAAATCGGAACAAATTTACGGCCTGACCTTGAACACTGAGAAGTGCGAACTTTGTTTTTTTTGGGACCGACTACTAGTACACAGTATAGTTCAATTTTATTACAATTTCGAAACATATGCCTCAAAATAAAAATAAAAACAAAAGAAGAACTCCTCATTTCGCCGAAAAGAATTGCTCGACGAAAAAATTAAGGAGCTTGAAAAAATTACGGATGTCATTGACAAATTAGACGCCGATTATGGTTTTTACCTCCTTTAGCTTGCCAAAACTCCTATATTCTTTGCGTACGAGCCCTTGTTTTTTGCAAAATGATTTTTTGGAACGCTACGACAAATTACTAAGAAATTTGTTATGCAAGGTCACTAACGTGAAAATGGATGATACAAGTTGTTTTTAAAAGCAGTTCACCCGGCAGCCAAAGGTGGCTTGTGCGTTTCTTCCGTTCGTCTAATCGCTTTACCCGCTTTCTTATTCTCAGCAGTAGGAGTAAAAGATGCCTTGATTGAAATCTTTGGTTTGGAGCATGTGGATGGAACCTATCTATGATGATGCGCTTAAACGGTGGTTTGAACTTGGAAAAATTTAAATGGCTCCGAAAAATGAAATCCAGAAAAATTGGACGGAGCCAAATTTTGACAACAAAATTGCAGACTTGGTTTTACGACTCGAACCAACGGACGTAAAAAGATTCAACGCGTTCCAAGATAGATTTGGCTCCCAATGGTTGAACGTCATCCCGTGCAAAAATTTAAGGTTAAAATTGTCGAACCATCAACTCAGAATTGCGATAGGACTTCGATTAGGCTCAAAAATATGCGAACGGCATAAATGCGTGTGCGGAAAAGACGTTTCCGAGGATGGTTGGCATAGTCTTTCTTGCCTCAAAAGTGCAGGTAGATTCTCTAGGCCTTCAAACCTGAATGCCCTTATAAAGCAGAGTTTATCTTCTACTCACATTCCGTCTGTTTTAGAACCACGACACCTCTACAGGACCGATCAGAAGCGACCAGTCGAATTGACGCTCGTTCCATGGGCTGCTGGTACGCAGCTCTTGTGGGATGTAACGGTAGTAGACTCCTTAGCTCCTTGTAGGATTAATGCCGGGTCTGTTTTTAACCCTGGTACGGCTGCCGCTGAAGAGGATGAGCAAAAAATTGACAAGTATAAAGATGGTGTAAATGATGGATATCTTTTTCAACCGCTAGCTTTTGAAATTCAGGGCGTGGCCGGCCCCAGCACAGAAATTTTTTTGAGCAAGCTTTGTAAGAAACTAAACATATACACTGAGGAACCCAGAGCAGGCAGCTTTTTAAAACAGAGAATCTCCCTGGCAATACTGATTGCGAACGCTGCTTGCGTACTCGGAACAATAAAGGACAATATAACTTTCGACAAATTTTTTTATTTGTAACACTTGTATATTATATTTTCTCGTGTCGAGTTGCGTGTTCTTGTTGAAGAAACGTAACCCGTATCAATTTTAATTGAAAAGGACGTAAACACTTGTCATCTTCTTTTATCTTTATCACTTCCATATCTAGAAAATTCCAAGGATTTTAACTGGAATACGTGATGAAGGGACTCTTGACTGTAACCTCGGTTACTATGATACTTTTGACCTTCTGATTATCATTAAAAAAGAAAAAAATCAAATTACTGATGCTCTCAGTTCGGATGAGTTGAATCCTTCTGAAGCGGTTGCTGAAAGTTTGCTGAAACATTTAGAGCTTCATATCATAATTATTTAATTACAGCAAATACATTCGAAATAACAACCCGACAAAGAATGAAACAAACCCATTAACAACACATTTTCTATCTAACCAACTTTGAGGAAATGATACTTTCGTACTTTTCTAGGTTTAGGTTTTGGAGATTACATTATCACTTTTGCGCAATGCTTAACCTTAAATTTTGGTTATTCTGTGCGGCAATTCTAATTTCTTTATCCCGGAAAGATTAGAAAAAACAAAAAAAATTTGGTAGTGTTAGCTCCCGTCGACATAGGTTTCCAGCGAAATTGAAAGGGTTGAGCAGATATCATTTCCACTGACTCATATCTTATTTTTGCCCTGCTACTCACACAAAGTGGGGACGTAGAAACTAATCCAGATCCCATGGAAACACTAGAAATGGTCTATAATATGGTCAAAAAACGCAAACAATCTGAAATTTGTCCATTTATTTTTTAAAGAGTCAATCAAAAGCGAATGCAGATTTCAAAAAACTCTTCACGAAATAGGTGAAATTACAGTTTTAGGGATTTCTGAAGCGTGGCTTAAGAAAGATGATGATGTGAATCTTGAACCCCATACACATGTGATGCTTAGATATCACAACCAATCGGTGATGAAAACAAAGGTGGTGGCATTTTATTATAGATAACGGTTAAATTAGCCCAAAATTGAGAGACGATTTCAACATGTTTAACGGCAAAAAATATGATTCAGTGGTGGTTGAATGCAAATTTAATTTTAAGGGTGCCATTAAAGAAAGGTTGTTCATAATTTCATGTTATAACCCAAACAAATTATTTTATTGAGTTTCTTGAACAACTTACTTCGAACATTGATAATGCACTTTCTGTGTCTTACCAAATATTTCAATGGATGATATTACAAAAATATATTTGAAGAAATTTTAGAGATAAAAACTTCAATCCATCATGTAGCATCGAAATGATGCTACATGAGCCAGTGCTTCGGCAAAACCTATATTGATTATCTAACTGATATTTTTGCAACAAATGGAAATTAATTTTGCTTCACTTATTTTGGCAAACCAAGAATGTTTAAAAAAAACATGCGAACAACTATTTCTAAATTCAATAATATGTAATTACCGAAAATTGGAGATTTACCAAACTCTAACCGCTCTTCCTTGGGTTCAATTATATCAAAGAACAGACGCGCAAAACATGTTTTCATTTCTGTTAAAATTAGTATCTTATGCTCCTCAGCAACATGTCCCAACCGAAAAGAAATTTTTTTGTGATTTTAGAGCAAAAAACGTGTTGAAAACGGATTTGTTCGGTTCAGAGTGAAATGAAAAACGGATAATAAATGAATATCACTTCTAGCATACTGAAATAATAATTCAACAAAAAAGTGTGGCAAAAAAATGTCTCCGTCGTGACCAATCAGCCAAACTGGTTACAGATAAACCAGAAAAATCTTCGCATGTACGCTATTTTTTCTCAGCGCAACCCAGC